ATGAAAAAGCAAGAAAGGAGTTGCTGAGCAAGACGGTCAAGTTGAGGGAGACGCGACAGAAGACCAAAGATGATGAATGTATGGACGGCACTACTCTGAAGAAAAAAACTGATGATAAAATAATTAAAGTTAAAGGGGAGGATAAGATTAAGACTAGTAATATGATTAAAAGTATTAAGATCCTTAAGGCTCGAGCAGGGGGAGGCAAGAGTTTGAAGTCTCGAAAGAGTAAGCGGGAGACAGAGGAGTTGAGCAGCCCGTCGGTGGATGCTGTCTCGGAGAAGAACTTGAGGGAGACTGCCCCCATGATCTTAGCGCGGTGGAAGACGGCAGCCTACAAGAAAAGCTCCGAACCAAGGAGGCTAGCCGAAATAGTGAAAAAGATCTGGTAACGGAAGAAGACTTCAAACCTCAGAAGGCAGGCTCGAAAAAAGGTTCGACGAATGGACAAACCTGGGAAGTGGATGTGGGCAGAGAATGGATCTCGAGTGAACATCATGCTATTGGCAAACAAGTGTCCAACGACCCTCTTGAGGAGAAAGCGACAAGGAATACGGCTCGACCTTGGTAGGTGGCCCTAGAGACAATGAAGGAATTGGAGGACTGTCTGAAGAAGCTCGATCGTGGAGTGTCCCGCAAGCGTCGCAATTGGGCTACTCAACAGAAAGCAGAAGTCAACAAGTTAGAATTGGGAAGTCAACTAAAGCGAACTTGGCAGAGATTGTTGCAGGATTACTGTGAGGAGACGATGAGAACACCTTCATCAGCATTGCCTCTGATGGCAAATCCCTTCGTCAGAACCGCGGGATAACTGATGTTCGCGTGGAGCCTAATGGGAATAGAATTGGAGGTCTTGACTTCTTGTGACAATTTGAAATTGGGCAATAAAAGCCTAGAATTCTATCAGATGACGGTACAACACATCGCGAGAGACAACTCCAGTCTGAGTCTGACAGGAAGAAAAGATGCCACTTGTTTCTTGAGGTGGATAAGGTCCGTAATGACTAATAGCACCGTCCAAGCGTGTCATCAGAAGGCCATGGGGAGCAAAACCATGGAGAGAAGTACGGGGATGTATCAGAGTACGGGGATCGAGAAGGAGGATGACTCGAGGCAATCCCTAGAGAATCATGGGAATTTTGATGAGATACGAAGATTCCACAACAAGAAATTTGAAGAGGGCATGATGTGCATCGCAACTTAGCCTTGGCTGAGGGTTACGCAAGACCCAATAAAAAGGCAGAGTATCAATACGTGTCTGGAGTGATGGGAATAGCGTACAATCCTTTCTTGAATTCAGAGGCCGCGAAAGCTCACAGGAATCATGAGATGACGGAGCTCTTGAAGTTTTGGATGGAGAAAATAATCGTAATCGATTCAATGGAGAGGGAGAAACCGAGCCTAGGCCTGCTACTTGAGGCGACACCCAAGGTAATAAGCGTGCCGCGCTCGAGCAAAAGAGTGGAATTGGGGATGGGGAATGGAAATGGCATGATGACTACGAATTTGGGAATGGTTTGGAAATTGCTGAGACTTTCCTGGTGTCCACATCCCCATTCGAGCTTGATTGAAGAAGTCACGGAACGAGTGAGGCTAACACCAACTAAAGATGAGGATCTGGGAACGTTGGACGTGATACACAAATTGATCCTACCACAGAGCAAAGAGTCGGGCGAAGCAACGAGTAAGCTGGGATCAGTAAAGAAGTTGGAACCTGGTAGCTGTCTTGACTTGACGTGCGGAGGCGGATGGCACACCTGTGATGGACGATCATGTGTCAGAATACAATCTTTCCAGGGAGAAGACCTAGTCACTTGGTTTCGTGACATAACAGAAAGAGAGAAGAGCGAGGTGCAGATAATGGCTGAGTGCTATACGAACACTACAGTGAATATAGCAACGGCGCTGGGGTTCTTCTCTAGAAAGTGTAGTCTGCAATCACTGGAGATGCTGGAGTGTGAACACCATTTGGTGACGGCGTTGAGCGTGGAGTCATGGCTGGGGGCGTTGCAAACCGCCCAGAAACATATCAGAGGGTGGAAAATTGGTCTAGAGGCGAAGATGGGATTTCCCGTGAGCGAAGCTTATGGCCTGCCTGCAAAGTCCTTAGTGGGATCAGTAATTGTCAACTTATGTGGGAGCCATTATCCCTTAAACATGGCAATGGTGGAGGTATCCAGCCAAAGGATACTAGTGGATAAGGCCTTATCAGTGCCCAAATGCGTACGGCTGGCTCGAATGTCGCATCATTCACACAGACTGTTGAGGAAGATCCTGGGAACGGTGCCAAGGGCACAAAGAGATGACATGAGTGAGATCTGGGGAGAAGAACTCTTGAGCTTAGGAGACGAAAACACGAGTGATTTTGAGAGACAGAATGCCATCGGGAAGCCGATGAGTAGTGTCCCAGCGCCGGAGGAAAATGATATGACGCACGAGAAAATGATGGAACTAGAGCCTCTGCTGGAAGCCTCGGGAGAATGCAATCTCCGAAGCATAGAGATTACACATGGGGAACAGACAGTGTGGTACCCGGAGCATAAAAACCTTTGTTTAGTGTGGGATGTAGAAGATATTCGGTCAATTGGGTTATCCGATCATCAGCAGAAGTTGATCATCTTGATAGTAAGTACAATGTTGGCGTTAGGATGGATCGAAGAAAATGCAACGAAATATAGGGAGTCGAAGACACCAACGGCGGAATCGATATACGCTATAGACTACAGCAGGAGACTTGAGTTGTTTGAGACTGTATGCAGGGTATTTGCCATTCCAATGGAAGTCAGGCACGTATAGAGCCGCATAAGGTTCTTTCCGTGGTTTCGAGCGACGTAAATATCTTCGTTGTACATAGCGACGAAAGACCACATGAAGAAATACCAAAAGGAATATCGACAGTTACTGGCGGAGATAGGTCCGGAAGCCTTCAAGATACCTCTGCTGACCCATCAAATTGCGATCGCAACAGGTTGGAAAAGAGCCGGTAGGGTGTCTAGAGATAATACCACAGCAAGAGAATCGATACTGGAGGAGGACTTGGCGAAGAACGTGAGCTTGAGGCTGCACAATTCCTTTTGCTTGAACAGGGAATTGAAAATGAAAGCTTTACCGAATCAGGCAATGAGGTTGCAGGACCAGAAGGAGTAGATGCGATCCTTCGAACATTTGAGAGCATGGGAAGAAATCGTGATCAGCTCTGATGATGAAGAAGCGCTACTAAGGCAGATCACGGTGTCAAATTCATCGGGTCCTAGCACTTCGAAGGCTAGGAATACGAAGTGAGCTCAATGTGGGTTTCTTGAGTCTTGAGAGGGAAAGGAAGGGGCTCGAGTGTGAACTCGGATGAAATCCGAGGTCACGAAAAAGAAATTTTAACGAAACAATGTATTGTTAATAATATGCTATAGTTATTATATAAATCAAAATGTTGCTTGACAATTTCCTGATTGGATAGGACAAGAGAAACTTTAATCATAAGCTTCAAAAGCGGATATTTAAGGTGCAGGTATATGAAAATTTTGATTGCTGTTCAGCGATAGTGTGACATTTTTATATAGTTGTGAAATTTGGGGTGTAGATAAACTTACGTCTGCTGCAAACTTCTGTAAATGACCACTGGCACTGTATCTTGAGCAACACTCGGTATTCTGGGGACTCACTGGCAGGCGGCAACACGCGATGAGGACATCGATCTTGAGTCCGGGGAGTATGTGCCAGTCGGTCATTTTGGAAGTTTGACCTTGAGGAACACGAACCACGTAATTTTAGGAGGAAATTTAATTTTTCAAAAATTCGATTTGAGCCTGTCATGCTCAACTTTCTCGCGAAAACTGAAAATCTCAGAAATAGAAGATCAGAACAACCGATTTACAATCGCGGGAAATTACTTGAAAAAAGCAGCGGGAAATTGCTATTCGCAATTTCCAGATACAAAACAAACGCGAGTAGAGCCGTCCTATCCTGAAATAGGAGAAGAAGCGATTATAAAAGAAGAACATATTTATTCGAGTTGAACCAGAGTGAACTCTCAGTGGAAAGGTGGACAGCTGGGGTATCCCAATGGTCCGGTTCCAAAACTTAATTCTCGAGTCAAAACTGTACGGATTGTCTAATAAAAAGTAACTGTACTATTTTTTAGGTCGACCGAATTGGTTTTTCGAGCTGTCCCTAAGCACGGTTTAGTCCCGGTTCTGCCAAATTTTCTGCGCCGCAGGCAAAGTTTTGAAAAAACAGTCCAAAAAAAGCGTTTTTAGGCACTTTTTGGAAAATTTTGATAAATATATTGGCGCCAATTTTGTCGGCAGGGGGTCGAATCCCTGAAAAGCAAACGCCACAATACCCCCCCCCTAAATCCGCCCCTGCTTTGGTTCTGTAGCGGATTTAGGGGGGGGGTCGAATCCCTTTTTTGAAAATCCCCCCTCGAGAAATTCCTCTGCTTTGGTTGTTGAAGGGGTCGAATCCCTGTAGTAGTCGGACTTTTGCTGTTAATTAATTCAATGAGAGTAAAAGTATTAGCCGATCAAATCTCTTAAAATTTTATGGATTTTTGTTAGCTAACAGGCTGCAAAGTTTCGAGGCATTTTTTGTCGAATCAAAACTTGTCTCAATTTATTGAAGAGTTTACTGATTTAATTTAATTAAAATGGGAGGTATTCAGTTTTTTCGGCTATCCGGGAATGCGGCTCCGTGGGTACGCACCATAGATCGTAATGCTCATACTTGTATTTTTGCCGCCTATATAAGGAATAAAGTCTTTCAGTAGTAGAAGTAGTAGTTGCCTGAGCTCCATCTCCCACAGATCCATTCCTTGTTTTCATTGATAATCCAATCTCAAACTATTTAATAAGTTTATCACAAAAATTATGATACTGACTGTAACCTCGGTAACTATGATACTTTCGACCCTCTGGTTATAAAGAAAAAAGACAAAACGACTAACATTTTGTAAATTGAACTTCTTTCATTTCCAATTACAACTGTACTTTTTACCTTCGTTTTTAAGTTATCATGGACACTGAGTTGTACGACGAGTTTGGTAATTACATTGGTCCAGAAATAGACAGTGATTCGGACTCTGATGTTCTATCAGAAAATAACGATGAAACAAACGTGAATGTTGAAGATGAGGGAACAGATAGAAATATGAATGGCATGCTGGACTCTGGCCGTAATGATGACGAAGATGTACCTACTGATGCAGGTAATTTTTTAGTCTTGTGCAATTATTGACCCTGTAGAATCATTCAGAATGACCCTTTTTTTTAATAGACCATTTGAGTCCAAAATATAAAGAATGCTTCTCGAAAAGCCAGTTTGATCCGGAGAACAAATTAAAATGTAGGGTTTCTCCATAAAACGGATTGATTTAACTATCACACTTGCGATAATCGGGACCTAGACTTTTTCGAGAAATAAGTTTTCTTACAAAAATTGAAACTTAAAAGTTTCCTAGTTTCCTTACCACGTGGTCTGGAGGTAACGCGGTTGCTTTTGGGAAGTAAGGTTTCAGGTTCGAGTTGCGGCAGGACCTTGTTTTTATCAGTATGTTTGAAATTGAATTTATTTACGGCTTAGTTGCCACAACACGGTTTATCGTGTGCTTTCAGGTGGACTTGAAGCGTTTTTTTTTGGAAAATCATTTTTTTTTCAACTGATTTCTGCTCAAAGATTGTCGGCTTTGTTTCCCGCTTCGTAGGATTTGTTCCGTTGCTGATATAAAATCAAATGTGCTGCTTGGCATGTTTTTCCTAGAATTTGTGATGAAAACAGATATTATGAAAATGTATAGAATTGGGGGTTTTTGTTTATTTTACTTTTTTGAGTCGCTTTGGATTTTTTAAAACTTTTTTTTTCATTTTTTGATCTTTTATTTTGATCCCCAGTGTGTAGCTGCATAATCCGCTTGTCTTTTCTACTTTACCCGAGTGTCTACAACCTTCGAAAAAGTCATATTTTTGGATTTTTTTGTTTTCTCAAAAACCATCCTATCAAATCTGAAATTTTAGGTTCAATCGAAATAGCGGTTTGTTGCAGCTCCCCTGCCAAATCGGTGACGCCCAATTTTTCACACAAAAAGATATGATCCTCGGAAAAGTCAGTTTTTTTTTGTTCTTTGAAACTAATTATTCTTTCTCGAAAACTAAAGTTTATTTGTGTTAATTTCTGCTACATTGGCGCATGTGTCCCCTTTTTGTAAGCCAAAAAGCTAAGATTCTCAAAAAATCAAATTTTTGATTACCCATCCGTTTTGGAACTTTTTTGACTTTTAATAGCTTTCCTATCAAGTTTGATATCAAGGGTTTAATTGAAACAACAGGTTGTTGGAAGACTACCTGCATACGCGGCCACTCCCATTTTTTTTTAGAATAAAATTATGGCCTTCAAAAATGTTAATGTTTTGAAATTGACAGTTTTCGGAAACTTTTTGACTTTTCACGGAAATTCTCCTGCCAATTCTTAGTGTTTAACCGAGAAAGCCGATTTTGGTCATGTTTTTGAGCTTATGACAGTGTTTTGAATTTTTTTGACTTTTCTTAGAAACTACTCTATCAAATATGAGATGAAAAGTTCAATAGACGGAACCAGGTGCTAGATTTTATCCTGAGGAACCGGCAACTCGTTAATTTTTTTGTTAAATTGTTATGTTCATGTGATATTTTCTAACTTATTTTTTTTAGAGAAACAACTAAGGTTTTATGTAAAGTCCGATTTTTTAAACTTCGAATTTACCCATTTCATCCAGCATCAGAATAACAAATTCCAAATACATCAAACAGGTACTTCCAGTCTTAGTTGGGCCCTTAGTTTTCTTTTATCAAGATATTCGAAAGTTTTGTTCCGCGTAGTTGCATTTTTTCCAATTTTTTCGACTTGAATTTTTTGCCTCTGGTAACTTTTAAAAATTTGATCAGCAATTTGTCAACCTTTTTTTCGAAAATGTAATAATTCAATGTGACAATTGTTCCGACCATAAAAAATGAGAAGTAACTTGTATTCGGGTGTTTTAGTTTTTTTGGTTTCCACGCAAAATTGGGTACCCCGAGTAATCATCGGAATCTTAATGTTTACAAGATGAGCCAAGAAATTTTTATTTAAAACCTGAGAACTTGGTAAAATTAATTTTTAAAGTTTTCTTGTGGCATTTTAGGAATAAAAAACCTCGGAAATTCAAAAAAACTCGGAAATTCAAATTTTTCGAGTGTTTTGTTTTTTAGTCATTTTTTTTGAAGAAAACTGTCGTCTAATCTGCTTATTTTACTATTTCTATCGAATATGCTTAAGTTTTACGCTATCGTTTAGATTGTTTCATCAGACCACGCTAAAGTAACTACCTCAATTTGAAAAAATAACTTGAAGTTTTTTGAAGAACAGTTTTTTAAAGTTTTTTGTTCCGACCATCGAAGAATATGTTCGGAACATTCTGTCCTAATTGCAGAGCAACCGGCTATTCCTGTTATTATGTCGCTTTAGTCGTACTTCACGAGGATAAGAGATACTATCCCTCTGCAGAAGATGTATATGGACCAGACGTAGAAACTCTAGTTGAAGAAGAAGATACTATGCAAATCACTGAACCGATCATTCAGCCGGTGAAAAACAGGAAATTTGCGCATTCGCTGAAGGATCTTCCTAAAACCAAATACAGCATGGAGTTCTTGGCTGATCTGATGGACAATGCAGAATTGATTCGGAATGTTGCCATTTGTGGACATCTCTGTACGTACTGACCTATCATATAGACTTGCTAGCTGAAACTTAAATGATAACACAACCCTCGGCTGTGTCACAACATCAGTTCAATTCTTTCATCCTATATCAATTTACGCATTCTTTTTTTAAACCTTATTTCCGTTGATGTTTTTCTTTTTTGCTCAGAAAAGTTGGAAATAAGGTGCGAGACTTTCTTAAATTTTGAAACATTTTATATTCGTGAGGCCTTTTTTTAGAGCCTTAGTTGTTTTTATATTTGAGCTGTTTGTGTATTTTTATTGCTGTTTTTTATTTATTATATAGTGTTCGCAATGTATTAGCTGTATTGTGGAGCTTATAAATTTACTTAAATTATCAGTTTATACCACAGGTATGAAGGTCACCGCCCGTTAAACCTGTCTAAGCGTTCCCAGTTGTTTGGCAATGTATTTTCTGATTAATTGTCGGCTTCAATTATTTGCAGCAACGAAACGGAAGAATTGATTGGTTATAACAAAGTAATAATTACGCACAGTTTACTTATCAATTCTAAATGGTTCGAAGTGATTGCTGGCTTTTATACGATTATTATGTCGTGTAATGTAATTTATTCGGGAATTCGAGAATTTTCAAGGTGTCTTTTCCTGATTCATTGTCAACCGGATACTGGTGTACCAACGAAATGGAAGAAAGGTTTACAACGAAGTAATAATGACGCACCGTCTTATTTCCAACGCTAAATGATTGAGTTAGAGTTGATTGCTTGTTTTTTTTTGTGCATAAATTGTTTTGTGGTTTCAGCTCACGGGAAGACGTCTTTTGTGGACAATCTTGTGGAGGAGACACACGTGGAATTGTTCAAGCCAGAAGGGGAGGGACTGCGCTTCACAGACACTCTCTTCATAGAACAGGAGAGACAGCTCAGCATCAAGGCCACTCCACTCACTTTAGTGCTGGGGGACAGCAGGCAGAAGAACTTCCTAGTCAACGTTGTTGACACTCCTGGTCACGTCAATTTTGCCGACGAGGTCAGTGCCTCTCTTTTTATACTGATCAAATAGAATATTATTCAATGGGTTTATCTTATAATACTTGGGAGAGCAAGAGTCTGCTAGTCGGCAATTGGACTTCCTCGTCGTAAACATCTTTTCTCACAAACCTGTCAGAAATTGCGTGTTGTTTATTGTGAAACCTTAATTTTGGAGTTATTGTGTGCACTTGGTCTAGCGGTGTGCAAACTAAATAGCGGCGTTTCAAAGTTAAAAATAGATTTTTCAGCTTTTATGTGTTTCATAGGGCGGACAGAGAAGAAACTTCGAGTATCAAAAGTTCATAGCCCAGAGTTATGATTTATATGGCAACATTGCTTCGACGGCGTCTACATAAGTTGTCTGCCAATTTTTCGTTCCGTAATGTTTTCTGAAAACTCATTCAATTCTCGTGATAGTGTTTCTCGATCTGTTTTCTGCAAATTGAACATCATTCGAGACAGTGTAATTTGAAAAAACGAGTTTCAGCTAGTGAAAGTCGAGAAAACCTCGATCTTGAAGATTAGAAGTCAATTCTGTGACATAATTCCTCCCCGTTTTCGAGCATAGCAAATAAGATAAAAATATCCTTAGGCAGATGAAAACAATCTTGGTACAATGCTGGCTGATGTAACGCAACAAATAAAGTAATATAACTAGAATAAGCCATTGCAGGCAGTCAAAGCCATTGCAGGCAATTACTTAGCAATCAAATATTGTTTTTTTGGAGAACAAAAAATTGTAGAACGAAAGAAATTATGAGCCCGAAATGGTAAATGGATCATTGGGTAATATTCTCGACAGCTTGATTACTGGCCGAACTCTTGTGCCATGTCTGCAGTGTTGCTGATTGGACATTACAGTTGCTGTGTAAACTTCGATTAAAGCCTGACATTTCTTTGGCTTGAATTCCGTTGTTATTATCGTCTTTCTGCTAAATTTTTAGAAGTTGTATTCTATTTGCTTCAAGTTCTCCTGACTTGTTCACAAAAAAAATGATTTTGAGCGATTATTTCGTAGTTTTTCCAGGTTTACAGAACGACAGTTTTTCCCAGATTAGTTGAAGCGGCTCTTGAATGATGGTCTTCCGAGTAGAAAATGGCCTGGGATGAGGGTTACTGATTGGACAATATCTGGAAAGTGATTGGAAAATGGCCAATGATTGGTGAATATATGTTCGAATGATTTCATTGAACGAAATTCCATGCTTGATTCATTTTGAGCAAATTAAAATGTTGATAGTGTTGTCATGCAGGTTCGTTCTTGAGATTATATGATTTTGTAAAGAGACGTTTGTAAAGAGAGCGTTTACACGAGTATCTCCCAACTGCCTTCAAATTGAGGCGCGGCTGGCGGGTTGAGCTTAGTGCAGCGATAGCGTGTCTTTACTGTTTTCACTTTGATCTAACTTGCTCTCTGACCTCTAACGAACTGACAGAGGATACTTTGTGTGAGACAAATTTCGCAGGTTATCACCCAATATTATTACGTCAGACGATATCTCCATATGTAAACCATCGACAACGAAACGGATGATCAGAAGTATATAACAAGAGTTTCGTTTCTTTTGTCATAAACCGGAAAAGGTCCTGAAATCCAGTCCTGCTCTATAGAAGGTATAATGGTTAGCCTTCGTGAAACGATCTTTTGGTAGATCTAATGTAAAGAGCCTACAGCCTACAAGCAAATTTTAACAGTCTAGGATGTAACAGCTTTCGTATACTCGTGTAGTTAAGTTTTTTTAAAATTGATAGTCGACCTCATTTTTTTTACTTTTATCCTTCTTTCTTGGTGTTTAAAATAAGTAGTTTTAATTTGGGCCAGTAGCGGATTTTAGGGGGGGGGGGGGTGCGGACCCCCCCCCCCCCCCTCAGGGATTCGACCCCTGCCGACCCAAAGGGTCCCCCTTTGTACTATTTTGAGATATCCATTTTTGGCTGACTGACCTTAAAATTGTTCTAAAGGCGCCTTAGGCGCCAATCTATACTAATTTTGAGAGGGGAGCTAATCTATACTAATTTTGTGATTTTTTGGTCGAAATTTTCCAACAAATGCATAAAAACGCCTTTTTTGACCTTTTTCCAAAAATTTGCCTGCGGCGCAGAAAATTTGGTTGAATTAGGGTCTTTATAGTGGTTTGAGAGAGCTCAGAAAATCAATTTGGTCGACCTTAAACAAAAGGTCAAAATTTTTTGAAAATCCGCCCTCCCCCCTCGAGAAATTCCTAGATCCACGCCTGATTTGGGCTATTTGTTGCGGTCTCCTGACTCGCGGTAATATGTCATCTGAGTCGCGGTGAATAGCTAATTGAAAATTCGAAAGAAAAAATGCGATGACCACCTGCTTCAGTGCTCTTTTTTCATTGTTTTTTTTTCAAGAAGTCGTGTTAAGTAGTGAAACAATGTGAAAGTTCCAGCCAAATGTAACGATTAATATCACTGGTAAAAGTTGGCAAAAACTGTCAGACCAGTATCCTGTCAGACCAGTTACTTGAAAGTGAGTACCAAAGTTTATCTGACTAGAAGCTTTCCAAAAATGCATGCAGTTTTTAATCAAAAAGGAACATTGTTGTGCTGCTGTTTCAGGTGACTGCTTCGATGCGTCTGAGTGACGGTGTATGTGTTGTGATTGACGCGGCCGAGGGAATCATGCTGAACACGGAGCGCATCCTCGCACACGCAGTCTCTCAATCACTCCCAGTTACGATCATAATCAACAAAATAGACAGGTAGCTGCCATGATATTTTCAGTGAATTATTGTTTTGGTAGTTTTCAAGAATTAGTTCTTTGGAATTATTATGTTTTGGTAGTTTTCAAGAATTAGTTCTTTTGTGGTCTTTGCAGCGCAATTGAGCTAGAATGTTTTCATTGAATTTAATACAACCTAACAGAAAGGTAGTTTTTGAGAATTTCTAGTCAATCAACGCAGTTTTAAATAGGCATTCAAATTTTTGTTTTTCGTCTGCTTAGTATTTCCGCCCGTATTTTACAAAAAAGGAGGTATTTGGTACTGTAAAATGTGTATTTTAGATTAATAATTGAGCTGAAACTTCCGCCTTCGGATGCCTATTTTAAAATCAGACACATTTTGGAGGAGGTGAATGGACACTTGGGCACATTCACTGAGGACAGAGAACCACAGACGATATCGCCTCTGCTAGGAAATGTTGTTTTTGCCAGTTCGGAATACGGTTTCTGCTTTTCTCTCTACTCGTTCGCTAAACTCTACCTGGATTCCTACGGACAGGATGCCTTCTCAGCTAAGGAGTTCGCTCTACGCTTGTGGGGCGACATCTACTTCAACCAGAACACCCGTGCATTCTCCCGCAAACCTCTTCCTGGTGAGCACTCATATGAGTTTATTTAGAATTCGTGCCTTATCCAAGCTCAATGATTTACTACTGTAATAATTACGTTAGATGAAATCTTTTTAAGTGATATTTCACGTAAGGACGCTAATAAGAGTTGATTTTTTTCAGGAATAAGTTTTATTCGATCACGACGGTTTTGATCTTTTTCGGTTTGTTTGACTCTTGATTTTTTCTATGTTTAGTTCAAATTCATTTGATAAACGAAAAGCAAATTGCTATCTCTAGTTACGAAAACGGAAATGGTGCGAAAAAAGCTGAACGAATTCTAGTTCTAGAAATTCAAAGAGCTTTAAGGTCATCTATTTTTTCTTTGAATTTCGAAAGTTGCATTTTAAACAGTCGATGAACGTAGTTCAGACGATAATAATTCAAATGGTATAAAATTTATAGTTTACCAGATGGTTCAAATAGACTAACTTTTGAAAAGTGGCAGTGAAATTTCAATTAAGTTGAAAATAATAGAACCAGAATATTGAGCAGAAAGAAGGAAATAAACTGATTTTAATTTTTGCAAGTTTTGGCAGAGTTCTGAAATGCTATCCCAGTTTTCGTCGATATCAAGCGATTGGGCTTCGAGTTTCTGTTTCTCGTTGCAAATCATTGCATTTAGTTTTCTACATTGTTTTGGTTGAGGAACATCCGCTTGGTTACACAAGCTGATGTAAAGTTATAACAAAAAACGACAGACATGTTGTAAAATTTTAACAAAAATCCAAAAATTTGGACGAGTTCGACTACCTACTCGTGTATTCAGCCGATTTTTGTAGCCTTTGCATGCATTTATTGTTCTCAGAGTGATGTGCCTGGTATAAAACTTCTAGATATTTGGTAGAAATTGATCTAACCAAGTTGCCTCGAAATAGTTGGAAAAGACACTGAGATTTGTAAATCGTGAAACCAGTAATCTTGTCGATATTCCTTAAATTAACTCATGAAGTTTTTGGCGGACATAAAACATTTGTAGAAAACTTATGGCAATGAATTTTCGAAGTGGGTTTAGTCTTCTATCAGTTTTGTAAGATTTAAATAATCCCAAACCCATAATTTTGACAAAATTGCTTTGGAGAAATGAAAATAACATCCTCGAATTCTGACACTTGGAAAGTCTGTTTCTATTGCTCCCTAAAACATAAGATTTTTGAAACTAGGCTCTGAGTGGTCATAGGTGGTTTTTGAGAACTTCATAGCGATCAAGTCTGAGACGTTTCTTGGGGATGTTGGTCAAGTTGGTGCCGAGGTGAAGAGTTCCTGGGCATAGAATTCACCTAGCCCCGTGGTGGTCTCAAAAATTTGTAATGATGTCTTGTTTAGTAGTTGAAGAACTGTTGTATCTCACCTTGAATCTTGGCTCGAAGCCGCAGATAATTTCTTTGATTTTCAGTTGTAGGCCCATTCTTTCAAGTTTTTTGTTAATGTTTGTAGCATTGGTCGATACATTCCGGTCGTTTTTTTGAAGCAGACAACAAACCAAGGGAATTTTTGATTCTCTAGATACTCCGAAAAAATATAAATTTGGTGAAAAGTTTTTTGCGAAAAGTTAAAACTTCCATCAGAAAGAATTGTTCTACATTTCGAAAGCGCTTTTTATTGCAACTCGCTAGACAAAATGACCATATGCTACTCCTGTTGATGTTTAACAGTTTTTTTCCGTCCTGTTTCTGCCCATTCATCTCGAATTCTAAACGATTCGATATTTCTAGGGGTTTTCGGCATCATTATCTATCGTTGGCCATACAGCGGCGGTTGCTGAATGAAGATACATTTCTGAATGAAGAGATACTTTCTTCACTGGTTCCGGTTACATTGTTTTTTGTAATTTTGGGCAATTGACTTGAGTGGATTTTATGAAATTTCCGAAAGAATTTTTTTAAAAGTGATCTTTATAGCGGTCATATGGGCATGTGAAGTTGGATGAGTCAACAAGGTATCCATTTCAATATTTGAAATGAGCGTGGAGCCGCTTTCAGTATCAGTACACAGCCAAAAAAATTTTTGGTTGTCGCTTCAATTTTTTTGTATAAAAATATCCGTCACAATCCAAATTGCCACCCCGTCCCATTTTTCATATTTCGATTGGGCTCATTTTTTTTTAGAGTTTGATAGTTCTGCTTGGATATTTGAAATGAGCGTGGAGCCGCTTTCAGTATCAGTACACAGCCAAAAAAATTTTTGGTTGTCGCTTCAATTTTTTTTGTATAAAAATATCCGTCACAATCCAAATTGCCACACCGTCCCATTTTTCATATTTCGATTGGGCTCATTTTTTTTCGAGTTTGATAGTTCTGCTTGGATTAAGAGTTGATGAATGATTAGTAATTTGCTGACAAGTAAACAAAACAAGGGGTGAAAACTGTCAGGACAGATCTCAAAGTTTTCACGATTTTTTGAAATTACCTATGACATTTGGGACATAGTTTGTTTTTATTCCATTTGGGAAGTTACCGTTCAGACTCTTGTATAGGTCCCGATGATTTTTTCAGGAAAAGTCTTAAAACTTGTTCAGTCTCAAGTTTATTTTTTCGCGGATTGACTTGATTTTTTATCAAGTTCAGCGGAAGGCAAACTCACCTATCGAACAGCGAAATTTAAAAGTTCACGAAAAACGTTATCAACTTCTAGTTTCGAAACTGGAATTTAATTTTCAGATTTCGTAGCGAAATAAAAAAAGTTGACCTATTGATCCAGTTATCTCGAATTGGGTTAATTTTATCGAAAAAGTGCCAGTCATTAATTGATCTAGAAATTCAATGAACTTTAAGTGCATCTATTTTTTAAAAAAAATTCGGAAGTTGAGGTTTTTTCAAAACAAAAACAAGCCAGTTTTTTGCGTTCAAATCTTTTCTAACTGTCAGTTGGCTATGTTTTTCGAAGTTCAAATATTGAGATTTTTTTAAGACAAGTCAGTATTTGTCTTTGTTTACATGTGTTAATTGACTTTTTTCCAACTAGTTCTTGGCTATGTTTTTTCTGCAGGCCTACAGGTACTTATCAAATACGGTTAAATAATTGAACTGCGGCAAATGGTTCATTTGTTTTGTTTTCATTTTACTTTGTCAATTAGAGCATAACCGTTAGTCCGAACGCGCACACTTGAAGCAACCAGTAAAGTTTTCGACTGCACTATGACACGGGCGGATGTGGGGGGGGGGGGGGGGGGGGGGACGTACCTCCCCTCAGGGATTCGACCCCCTGCCGACCCAAAGGGTCCCCGCTATGATACTTTTTCAGAAATCCATTTTTGGCCGACCGACCCTAAAATTTTTCTAAAGGCGCCTGTGGCGCCAATATACTAACTTTGAGGGGGAGCGCGCGCCTTTAAAAAGCGATTTTTTTGTCAAAATTTTTCAAAAAGTGCCCGAAAACGGTTTTTTTTGACTGTTTTTCAAAAATTTGCTTGCGGCGAAGAAAATATAGCCAAAATAGGGGCTAGGGGCAAAACAGTGCTTTGGGAGAGCTCGAAAAATTAATTTGGTGGACCTAAAAAAAGTCGTCAAAATTTTCGAATTTTTTTTTTGAAAATCTGCCCCCCCCTCGAGAAAATCCTAGATCCGCCCCTGCTATGACAGACAAAGTTGGTTTTGATATGTAGGGTGCAGTCGAACATTCGTGCAATTTATCTTGGAACCTCTCTACAAAATATTCTCTCAGACAGTGGGAGATGTGGATTTGACTCTGCCGAAGACACTAGACGAATTGGGTGTGCATTTGACAAAGGAGGAGCTCAAGTTCAATATCAGAGTTCTTCTGAGAATAGTCTGCCAACGCTTTTTTGGTTCGTTCGGAGCTTTCGTTGACATGATAGTTCAGCACGTACCTTCTCCGCTCAGATCAGCAGCTCAAAAAATCAACAATATCTACACGGGACCCAAGGTAAAAACCAATCAAGTAATTGAGAATTTTGTAGGCTTTGGGTCGGAATAATTTCCGGCTTGTTATTCATGTTTTAAATACCAAAGAGCGTTATTTTCCTCAAAGCTCGGCTTAAACCAGTTTAAATACTGTTTTCTCAATCTATTCTATTTTTCTTTTAGTTAACTTTTCGTTTTCAAAGTTGTTTCTCATAATTGTTTTTAACTATTATTTTAAAGGCAGCTCTTTCGATTCAGTTTTCATGCTCGACTTTCAATCTAATAGTAAGAATTGCAAGCTTTGCACTTTTAAAATGGTTTTCAAGGAAAGGTATTAATTTTTTTGGAATTTTGTACTAATATGTTAAGCTGTTCCGAGAAAGTCACTAGATTTTTTCCCAATTACCCTGGGTTTTCCTCCAATTTTAGGTGCCCAAAAGAAAACTTCTAGAATTATATTAAAGCCCTATCGGCTGTTTTACTTGCCATTTTCTTTTCTCAAAAAAGGTGTCTGAATATCGAGAAAAATAGTACGAATATTTTTTCGTTTTCAGACCAATTTAGAGTGCAGATTGTTCGCTTGACAGCCCAATTACACGAGTAAAGAGAGATAATTTTTAAGATTCGATGAAGTTAGTGAAAACTTTTATTTAGGTCGTGATTTAAGTTCAGTTCATTTCCTTTGTTTAAAGGAAGGCAAACTCCACTATCGAACAGCAAAAGAGTAAAACTTCTAGTTTCGAAAGCGGAAATCTTTTTGTTTTAGATTTCTCAGGGGAAAAAAGTTTGCCTATTGATCCATTTTCCCAATTTGGGTTAATTAATCAAAGTATCCATCATAAATAGTTCCAGAAGTTCAAAGTGCTTTCAGGGCGTATAATTTTTTTGAAGACATTTTTTGTTTTCTGGCTCTTTTCCAGTTATCTTTTAGGCTGTGACAGATTTCGTCCCATGACAGGTCTCGTCCCATTTTAATTTTAACAGATTTCGTCTCACTTCAAAGCAAAGCGTGTACAGATTTCGTCCCACAAATTTGGATATGGGATGATAGGATGTTGGATATGGGACGAAATCCGTTAATTAAATAAATAGGACGAAATCTGTAGTAGGACGAAATCTCTGCCAACCGTCTTTTGGCTATGCATGAGACAAACGGATGAAAATTTTGTAAGATCTTTTTTGTTCATCGTAAGTAACTTTTTACTCAGCAAATTTTGTCTCATTTTCTATCATCTTATTTGCAATGCTATATTTGTGTCCTAATGCAGGGAATGCATTTTCGCCTCACGGATTTGAGATGCCTGCTAATCATTTTTTTTGTTTGACTTAGGACTCTGATGTGGCCCAATGTATGTCCAGGTGTGATGCAGATGGAGCCCTTATGGTGCATACCACGAAGATGTACAACAGTGACGACGGAGGCAGTGGCTTCTTGGTGCTAGGGAGAGTGATGAGTGGGACTCTGAAGGCAGGTCAGCCAGTAAGAATCCTAGGGGAGAACTACACTTTGCAGGACGAGGAAGACAGCCACGGGTGCCAAGTAGGGAGACTGTGGATATCAGAAGCCAGATACAAGGCTAGTACTCCCGAATTACAAATCTAGACAAATAACTCATTTAATTGGTCCGAAATGACTTTTCTCTGATTTCAAAGATCTCACCTTTTGAATCAAAGGGCGAATCTTTCTCACGGATTTGTTGCGCTATCTTTCTAAACGTCTCTTTAAATTCTTATTGGGAAACGTTCTTAACCATTCAAATGCCTTGATTCAGAAGTGAAACTTTTGAAACCAACAATTATAACCAAGAACCATGAAAATTGCAGTTTGTTAACCACCGCAGCTTACCCGCAGTCGTTATTCAGGTCGAAGTGAACAGAATTCCAGCTGGCAACTGGGCATTAATAGAGGGCATTGACGAGCCAATTGTGAAAACGGCGACCATAACGGCAGATGACCATACTAACGAGGGAGCACTCACGTTCAAACCACTCAAGTTTGATACCAAGGCCGTCATCAAGATAGCAGTGGAGCCGGTGAACCCGAGTGAGCTCCCCAAAATGCTGGACGGCTTACGGAAGGTGAACAAAAGTTACCCTCTATTGTGTACTAAAGTGGAGGAGTCTGGAGAGCACATCATCCTCGGAACTGGTAAGTTTTTCTCTAGTTCTTTAGTTCGTCGGTGAAAAAAGTAATTGAACTTGAGTTTTCGCTGCGAATGTTGAAGTTTACTATTCGCTTAACCTTCCTCCTTCTGTGATGAAATTAGACTGACATTTCTTCAGGCGAGTTATACTTGGATTGTGTGATGCACGATCTGCGCAAGATGTACTCGGAGATCGACATCAAAGTGGCTGACCCGGCAGTTTCCTTTTGCGAGACTGTAGTGGAGACATCCTCTCTCAAGTGCTTTGCCGAGACTCCCAACAAGCAGAACAAATTGACAATGATCGCAGAGCCTTTAGAGAAAGGACTGGCAGAAGACCTGGAGAACGAAGTCATCAGCATCTCGTGGAACAGGAAGAAGCTGGGCGAGTTCTTCCAATTCAAGTACGATTGGGATTTGCTGGCTGCCAGATCCATATGGGCTTTTGGTCCGGATGTTGCAGGACCGAATATTCTAGTGGATGACACGCTGCCTTCCGAAGTTGACAAAGGCCTTCTTAATTCAATTAAAGTAAGTCTGGTGAAGTTACGGGATAGCTTTCGAAATGGGTAGATTTAATTTTTCCATCAATCTGAAACTGTCTCATCATTAAGTCTATGGCCTGTTAACAAAATAGCTCAAGAAATAACAGGCAAAACGTAATTTCCTCTTTTTGTAACCATGTATTCTTTCGACTGATTTATTGTAGGACAGTGTGGTGCAAGGTTTTCAGTGGGGCACTAGAGAGGGACCACTGTGTGATGAGCCGATACGAAATGTGAAGATGAAGATGTTGGACGCCTCGATCAGTGATGACCCCATCCAGCGTGGAGGTGGCCAGATCATCCCCACGTCTCGCAGAGTGGCCTACAGTGCATTCCTCATGGCCACTCCTAGACTCATGGAACCCTACTACTTCGTAGAAGTATTAGCCCCTGCCGACTGTGTATCATCTGTGTACACTGTACTGGCTAAACGACGAGGACACGTCACTCACGATGCTCCAGTTCCAGGATCACCGCAGTACACCATTAAAGCATTCTTACCCGCAATAGACTCGTTTGGATTCGAAACAGATCTCAGGACCCACACTCAAGGTCAGAAAAAGGTTTATTTGTATCTTCTTCGGCTTAATGGAAATCGGTTAATTGAAGTGACTCAATATTTTTAACAAGAAAAATAGGTCAACTCAATTCGTTGGCTAAAAGGTCATGTTTGAATTCAGATTTAATTGTTTTCTATGCATTACTGTATTAATTCATAGCATTATCTTTCTTTTTAGGCCAGGCTTTCTGTGTGTCAGTGTTCCACCACTGGCAGATAGTGCCCGGAGACCCTCTGGACAAATCGATAGTGATCAGACCACTGGAAGCTCAACCGGCAACTCACTTGGCCCGCGAGTTCATGATTAAAACCAGACGACGTAAAGGCCTCAGTGAAGACGTATCAATTAATAAGTTTTTCGACGACCCTATGTTGCTGGAGCTCACGAGGCAAGATGTAGCATTTGGTTACGTGGGATAAACTGTAATGATCTCAAAAACTTTCTTCTTGAAATTCAGTTGAATGTGATTAAATGTGTTTTGTTTTGTTATAGCTTCGCTGATTTAATTTACAGCAATGTGATAAATAGACAATTACACGAGTAAGCTATCGAGCTTAGTATTTTTTATGCGAATTCACTTTTTTCTGAAACAATTCGCAAATTAAAATGATCATTTAGCTGAGCATTTTAATAGCATCTGTTCTAGCAGCTTTATTTGTGTCTAGTGTTTGCAGCGACTATAACTCAGATGCGAGAACAAAAGAATAGCAATTTCTAGGTCCACAGTTTGATTCCGGCCCATATTAAAAGTTGTTTCCAGGCTTATTTTGCTTTATTTTGAGTCGATGAAAGTATTCACATTCTTTTTCAGGAAAAGTTCTACAGCGCTCTAAAAACTACAGAAGAGCATTCAAACATATTATCGCATTTATGAATGCCCTTAGGTATATGTGCACTTATTGAGATCAATTCAACTTTGTTTGCTTTACGGCAGGCAAAGATCGCTCTCGAATTACGAAGGCTTTAAAAAGTATATCGATTTCTAGTTTCGAAAGTGGAATTTAATGTAAAGTTTTCCGAGCGGAATAAAAAAATTAGTTTTCTAAAATTGGATTAAATTTTCAAAAAAGTTCCAATCATAAATTTTCAAAATTCAGAGAGCTTTAAAGCAATATATTTTTTCATTAAAATTCGAAAATTGATGTTTCAAAAATACAGTCAGATGTTTTGTTTCTATGCATTCATTGACTCTTTCCAACTCTGTTGGCTATATTTTCATTTTTGCATTTTACAGCTGCAATTTGACGCTGTATCGCTTGTGTTTGCGAAGTGCAGCTTTGCCTCTATTTAGACAACATGGGGCCAAAATTACCTTTGTTGTTTGGAAGGTTTAGACAGCAAATTTAGGCTAGCGCCTCTTTTGAAGTTTAAAGGCTAGTATTTCAAAACAAATTGTCAACTTCTCCCGTTAATTGCGTGTTCTTTGGTTGAAAAAATGTTTAATTATACTTAGCTATATAAGATATATATATCATATCAAGCTCCTGTTAATTTCCCACATTGTAGTTCCATTGATTCGAAAACAAAATCTTAAATACTTTGAGGAACCCTGATGAAGAATCACAAAAGACAAGAATGATGAAAAAGTCGAACGTAATTCAGACTCTTATATAGGTCGCAATGATTCTCTCTTTTCAGGAAAATTTGTCAGGCTCTATTTTTTTTTGCGTTTTGACTTTCGGTTTTTTTACGCTTGCGATTACCAAGCGTTACCAAAGCAGAATGCAGACTCTTTTCGGGTCAGCATTCAGTTCAACCAAATCACTTGAATCACTATGCAGCTGACATGCTCAACTTCATAAAAAATTAATTAAACTACGGGGTGGGTACCGAATACTAGATGGTAGTTTTAGAAGTGACTTGGTGTCTGCTCACAGATTGTCGGCCTTGTTTCAACTCCTTAAAAATTGTTCAGTTGCTATTTGTCTGCTCAAAATTGTCGGCCTTGTTTCCGCTACTCAAATTTTGTTCAGTTGCTGTTTTGAATTTCAAGTTTGAGCATTTTTGTTTTTAAATTTTACCGAGAAATACCCTCCCGTATCTGAGATTTTGGGTTTAATCCTTTAATCTAAATCATAAAAGAAAGAATCAGCTACTTCTTAATTTTTTATAATGGAAAGATTTTTATTTTTTGAAAAATCCCAAAAATTTCACTCTTCTCACTTATTTTTTAGAAATACTACTGAGATTTTGGGTAAATCAAATGTTTGAAACTGCTCATTTTGTCCAGCAGCAATAAATCAAATTCAAAGATATCGAACACATAACTAGCCTACAAGTTAAGCTGGGCCTTAGGTGTCCTTCATCGAGACGTAGGAAAATTTCAGTTCATCTGGTTTCAATTTTGTTCATTTTGTTTTTCGCCTTATGCTTCTTTATGATTGTGATGTGATGCAAGTGATGCAAAGCTCCGGTTCTCTTCTGTGTTTCAGGTTAGTTCATTTCTTTTCTTGAAAGGAAGGCTCACTCCACTATTGAACATCGAAAATGTAAAGGTCACGAAAAATATGATTGACTTCTAAATTCGAAAGTGGATTTTAGAAATCGACTCTCTGAGCTATATACAAATTTTACCTATTGATCCTGTCTCTAATTGGGTCATTTTAACCAAAATTTTTTCAAACAATTGTGTTAGTAGTTAATAGAGCCGTTAAGCCATCTATTTTTTCTTCGAGTTTTGAGTTTTTCAAGAGAAAATCAGTAGTTTTTTTTTTTGTTTTCTAGCGTTCATTGACTCTTTTCCAACTGTCTGTTGGCTATATTTTGAACTTTCATTTGAAAAATATTTTTCAATTTATACCTGAAATACCATGCTTGTTAGATTTAACCACCACTTAAGACTAAGCCACCACGGAAATCTTTACGAGTCCCAAACAAACACTGATGAGAAGATGAAGAACATTCTGTTGCCGGGCAGACTATCACGATTTTTTTATTGAAGTAAGCGTATCAACAAGCAGGGGCGGACCTTGGTTTTTCTAAAAAGTAAAGATTTTTAAATGCTTTTGAAATTCTTGATTTTTTCGTAGGCCAACCAAATTGATTTTTGAGCTCTCACAATCATGATAACGACCCTATCGTTATTAAAATTTCTGCGAACCATGCGAATACTGACAAAAAAGGCAATTTTTGGAAGTCTTTGACCATTGAAGTATGTTGTTTGGATCTCTTCTCAACATTGGTATGTATTGGCGCTAAAAACGTTTTTTTTTTTAAATTTCAGGGTCAATCAGCAAACTTGATGTCCCATAATAGTACCAAAGGGACCTCAGGGTGGTCAATGGGTCACAATCTTGTGAAAGTGATGTGCCCTTTTCTCCTTCCCCGTAATTCGCTACTGTCAACAAGTGTTGGCATTTCCTTGGGAAGTACAGTGAAACTTTTTTTAGTAGTGTGAAATAAGTTTTTATTCAACTTGGAATATGTGAAAACGGTAAGGATTTTTTTTCCAGAAAAGTTTTTTTCATAGAACTTATCGGTTTTCTAAAACATGTCTAGGAAAAACTACAGTTACGAACAACCAACTGTAATTATTAAACTGCTCATAGCACCAATTGTCATGTATTTTATAATGTGCTTCTTAAGCTAAAAGTATTGGTGAAGTAATGTTTGAATCATCCGAGTGATCTGTCAATTAGTACTGATTCGTGTTTCTTGAAAAGGTATGTCTTTATTTTTTTGAAAACAATTTAACGACATGTAACCAGTCTGATTTGCATATAACCTCTTGATTAATAAAACGAATCCAGGAATGGTGGCATTCACAAACAATCAACGATGGAAAATAAATTGCGCGTAGCACGAATCACCTTTATATTTTCTAGGTAGTTAGGTAGAAAAAATTATCGGTATAATTTCTGAATCTTTTGTGCAAATTGTCTTTCGGAAGTGATTCTTGATTTTGTAAAACGTATGTCTGTTTGTTTTTAAAACCAATTTTGCGAGGTGTGACTAGTCTGGTTTTTAACACCTTGCTCTATAAAAAGTGTCTAGGAACAATCAAATTCACAAAAAAATCATCTATAGAATTTAAACTGCTTATAGCGCAAACTATCTTATTACTTTTTAGGCAGTTTTATGAGTTAAAAATATCAATAGAAGTAGTTTCTGAATCTTCCGAGCAATCTGTCAATTAGTACTGATTCGCGTTTCTTTAAACGGTATGTCTTTTTTTTTTTAAAAAACAACAATTTTCTGACAGGTAACCAATCGGATTTGCATATAACCTCTTGCTTAATAAATCGTATCTACGAATAATTGCATTCACAAACAATCGACAATGGAATATAAACTGCGTGTATCACCAATCATCTTAATACTTCTTAATAGTTTCGTAGGAAAAAATGATCGGTAGAATTAATTTGTGAATCTTTGGAGCAATTTGTCATTTGGTACTGATAACTGTTTCTGTGGAAAGTATGCCTGATTGTTTTTAAAACAGTTTTGCGTGGGTGATTAGTGTGGTTTATATAACATCTTGCTTAATAAAACATGTCTAGTAACAATTGAATTCACAAACAATCAACTAAAGAAAATAAACTGCATTTGGCACTAATTATATAAATGGTTCTTTTGTAGTTTCATAAGATAAAACTATCAGCAGAAGAAATTACTGAGTCATCCGTGAAATCTGTCGATTGGCGCTGATTCGTGTTTCTGTAAATGGAAAGTCTTTATCTTCTTAAAACAATTTTGCGACGAGTAACCAGTCTACTTTGCATATAAGTTCTTGGTTAATTAAACGTGTACAAGAATGATTGAACTCACAAACAATCAACGGTGGAAAATAAATTGTGCGTAGCACCAATCACCCTAATATTTAGGTAGTTTCTGGGTAGTTTTGTAGAAAAACTTGTTGGTAGAATTGTTAACTGAATCTTTTGTGCAATTTGTCATTTGGTAGTGATTCCTGCTTCTGTAAAAGTTTGTCTGTTTGTTTTTAAAATAGTTTTGCGAGGTGTGAGTAAGGTGGCTTATATAATATCTTGCTTAATAAAACGTGTCTAGGAATAATTGAGTTCACAAACAATCTACTATAGAAATTAAACTGCATGTAGCACCAATTATTTACTTGTTCTTTAGGTATCTTCATAAGATAGAAGTAAATTATGAATCCTCTGAGCTATCTGTCAATTGGTATTATTTCGTGTTTTGTTAAATATGTCTTTTAATTTTTAAAACAGTTTTGCGAGATGTCACCAGTCCGGTTTGTAAATAACATGTTGGTTATCAAAATGTGTCTAGGAACAATTGAACTCACAAACAATCAACACTAGAAACTAAAAAACGTGTAGCACAAAAGATCTTGTTTTTTGTTAGGTAGTTTCGCAAGAAAAAATATCGGTAGAGTTATTTCTGAACCCTCTGAGCAATCTGTCAATTGGTATTGATTCCTGCTTCTGAAAAAGTATGTTTTTATCTTTTTAAAGCATTTTTGCGAGGTGTGAACAGTCTGATTTCTTGATAACATCTTGGTTAAAGAAACCTGTGTAGGAACGATTGAGTTCACAAACAATCAACTATAGAAAATGAAATGAACGTAGC